CTTTGAAGAACTTCCAGCCATCAAAGAAACAAATAACAACATTGAAACTCAAACATAATTGTTGTTATTTTGCTGTTAATTAAAGTCAAGAAAGTAGTCTGTTTTTCTTACTTAAATTGCATTGCCCCCAACTTGGGGGCAACGATCACCAATGTCTGTGCAAGGGATTGGACTGTCCTGATTGTGGGAGATTGGGGGGCTACTGGTAGGCTAGCCATCTGTATCCATGCCGAAGGTGCCCATGAGACATCAATTCCCGCGAGTAGCCTGAGTAGAAATTCGGACGTTCCTTTGTCGACCTCCTCCCAGAGGATTCTAACTTCCAAGGCTGGAGCTGAGGGACCTTCAAAGTTGCTACTACTCTCCCACTTAGGTTTTTTTTTTTTTGTTGGGACAAATGCTCCAGTCTATTCGTGGGGAGCAACACATGCTGGGAACCGGGCCCAGCGTCCCATATAAAATGATACAAAGGATTTGGAATACCAGGTTGGCCCGTACAGATCCGGAATTCGCCAAGGATAGAGGAAAGGAATTGCCAGCGGGCCACCTCCCACCTCCAATGGAGAGGGAAATCGCAGATGCTCAGAACAGGGGTGTTGTTGACCAGGGTACCGAAGGTAGCGGTATTCTTGAGAGCAGTACTGTCACCAAGAACAGGACAGGCCTTGAGGGAGTTGCTGGGGGTTGTAGAAGAGGGCATTTCCAAGATCCGTCTCCCATGAAGAGTCTGGAGAAGTGAACGCCAGATCAAAAAGTTACTTCGAAAGGTAATTCCCAAGTGTATGGTGCTTACAAGGGTAGGTTCCGTGTCCGGGTCTGCAGGGGGTAAAAAAGCATGGGGGGTAGGTGGAGGGGAGTGTCGTAGACAAGGGAGTTGCCAAGGGTCCATCCCCAGAGGGACTACCCACAAACAGATGTTAGTTGCAGAAGAGGGAGTTGCCAAGGGGGGTGTGGAGAAGAGGTTAACAGAGTCCTAAGTTTTCAGGGGGTTTTCACGGTCATTATAACAAATGTAACCTGGGGCGGAAAAGTGGGGGTCCCTGTTAACCACTTGTGGGGGTGTCGTAGAAGAGGGAGCTGCCAAGGGTCCATCCCCAGCGGGGCTCCCCACTGGGAAGTGACTCCCAGATGCTAGTCCAGTGGTTCTTTCCAATGGTCGACTTCTGAGACTAGGGGCATTCATGACGGCAGGCCTACATCCAACAATAGGCTTGCTGGGGGCGAAGGGGGAATTACCCACAGGTTCGTCTCGGGGATGGAGGTGACTCCCAGATGCAGCTGAAGATTAACTTTTTCACTTCTCACTCTCACCCGTTACCTTACAGTAGTCAGAGGGCCATGAAATCTCTCTCTCTCTCTCTCTCTCTCTCTCTCTCTCTCTCTCTCTCTCTCTCTCTCTCTCTCTCTCTCTCTC